CGAAGACACACACACTTCACACCCACTGGGCTAACTAGAATCAAAAAGTCAGATAACAACCAGCATTGGTGAGGGTGTGGAGAAATCAGAACCTTCATATGCTGCTGGTGGGAATGTGAAATGGTACAGCTGCTCTGGAAGAGTCCAGCAGTTCCATAAACAATTAAAGACAGTTACTAGAGGGTCAGCAAGTCTACTCTCAGCAGTTCCCCCCGAGAGAAGGGAACACATATGTCCACACAGAAACTCACACACAAATGTTTGTAAGAAGCATTATTCATCATAGACAAACAGTGGAAACAACACAATTGCCCATCCACTGGTGAGTAAACAAAATGTGGTATTTCCACATAATGGGATATTACTCAGTCGTAAAAAGGAATGAAGTACTGGTACATGGTGCAATGAGGATGAACCTTGAAAACATCACGCTAAGTGATAGAATCTAAACACAAAAGACCACATATTATATAATTCCATTCATATGAAACTCCAGAACCTATAGAGACAGAAAAGAGATTAGTAGTTGCCTAGGGCTGGGGAGTGGAAGCTGGAGGGTGGGATGGGAGGCGCATGAGGGGAATGATAGCTCGGCACACACAGCTTCTTTCAGGGTGATAAAATGTTCTAACACTGGCTGTGGTGATGGTTGCACAACTCTGTGCATATACTAAGAGCTATTGAATTGTACACTTCAGACGGGTGAATTACATGATTAGTGAATTTTATCTCAACAACGCTGCTAAAAAGTGATGACATGGTCTATGCATGAGCTCCGAAGGCCTGGTTCCACTATACGCAAAGTATGATCCTACTTGTGTTTTTTTGTTTGTTTTTTTTAAAAAACACACACATACGTGCATAGGAAAAATATCTGGAAATACCCCAAAAAGTTACAGTGAGTGTCTCTAGGTGGTGGGAATTATGGATTTTCTTAAAATGTATTTTCACGTTTTCTGAATGTTTTACAATAAGCACGTGATGTTTTTCTATTTAAAAATAATATACTGGGCTTCCCTGGTGGCCAGTGATTAAGAATCCACCTGGCGATGCAGGGGACATGGGTTTGAGTCCTGGTCCGGGAAGATCTCACATGCCGCAGAACAACTAAGCCTGGGCACCACAACTACTGGGGTTGCGCTCTAGAGCTCATGAACCACAACTACTGAGCCTGCGAGCTGCAACTACTAAAGCCCTCATGCCTGGAGCCAGTGCTCTGCAACAAGAGAAGCCACCGCAATGAGAAGACCACGCACCGCAACAAACAGTAGCCCCCTATCGCCTCAACTAGAGAAAGCCCGCGCACAGGAACAAAGACCCAACGCAGCCAAAAATAAATAAATAAATAAATTTAAAAAATAATAATAATATACTTAATCATCTACCCTAATTTCAAAAATAGGTTATTTAAATAGATTATTTTTAAAATGGTTATTAGTGTTACAATTAAAAGGACAGTAGAGCCATAGATTGCCCACCACACGATGTCTTAAAGTTCTTAGAACAGCCCCCCACACACACCGCCCATGATCCCATGATTCGTCTGTGTCCAGAAGAGCTACTGAGCATCGTGCCCTTAGTGAGTGGTCTGGGGAGAAGGCACGGGACTGGGTTTAGTTCCTAAGGGACAGTAAACTCCCCTTGTGTAATAGCACATCTATAATGATTAATATAAAGTGGTACAATTAAGAACCAAATGGGACCCTCATGAACACATTTGCCCAGACACTTAACTCAGAGTCACTGACTGGGGCTGGAGAGAATAGAGCCCATTATGCTGAACAGAGAAACTGCATCAATGACAGCCTCGCTGGAGATAATGGCATTTCAAACTCTCAAAATATTTGAATATGGTTTCTGATATCGAGGCTGCGGTCTCCAGACAGTAAATCCAAATCCTTCCACTGTCATTCCCCTAGACTGACTTCTTTCGTGGGATCAGACTCCACAGGCATTTAGGCAAACCACACACCCTGGGGATGCAGTGACCAACGCTACCTGAGATAGAGGCCATGCTGACAGCCCTCGGCAGGGACCAGACAAAATGCAGCTCACAGGCATCCCTCCCGCCTTCCCACGGGTCCCCGGGGCCTCTGTGTGGCTTCAGGAGCCCCCCGGTTCACAGAGTCCCAGTACAGACGCCAGAGGGGATGGAGAACCAGAGGCTAGGCTGCATTAACATCTGCTCCGGTAGAGAGAAAAAGGTCACTGAGTGAACAGACCCTAACACACCAATTAGCTAATGGAATTCACAGCCCTTTTCTGCACAGCAGACAGACAACACAGGAACCCATAAAGTTTTTTTATAAGATATGTACTTGGACATAAGGAACATTGAAATTGAAAGATATTGGGAGAGTCTGCATGGCCATGCAGAATGGCAAGAGAAAAAAGATGAAGAAAACTATCTTAGATCCCAGAAGACAGATACGCTGATTTCTGTGCTGCCGGGAATCCCTGTCTACAGCAGTTCAGTAGGTAAGCAGAGAGCTGTCACCTTGGTTTATTGGGCCTCATATATCTGAATAAACCAGGTTTTGAAAGCTGATGTGCAAAAGCTTCCTGTATCTACTGGTGTTGCCCAACTGAATCCATGACACACCTACATTTCAGGGTCAAGGCTGCGATGTATATGCGTCTCCATGAGGTTAAGAGCTTGATTTACATCAGTGCTTCCTAACCTGTGTGTATGGGACTTGAACTTGAGGGTGGGGTAGGGGAGACCCAGCACAGCCCTCTGATGGTTGAAGAAGGGATGACTCTCAATTATACAGCATACCATCGTACTGACGTGCCACCTTTTATCGGACCAGTTTCCTGTTGCTTGATAGCTGGGCAGCTTTTTGGCACTTTGTGGGTTCCAACATTACCGTGAAGGTATACACACACACACACGGACACACACACACATTCAGACACAGACACACACACACAGAGAAACATATATTCATGTACTTATGCAGACTTCCAGAGAGAAGAGAGAAAGGCCACTTGGAGCCTTTCAAGGCTCCAAGCCTTTCTTGGATTCCTTGGAGTCAAAACTACTTTGAACCTTTGGGAACAAAGTACATAGTTGTGACCAGGGCAGAGAGAGGAAAGCCTGGCCCTGCCTGCCCACAGGCAGAGCTGAAGACGGAACCCTCCTTTCCACCAACTCCTGCTTTGTCTGAGTCAGGCTCAAGAAATGAAAACAAGTCACATTATTAGCAAATGCTGTCTCGACTGAACATTACCATTGGAGAGCAATTTTGGTTATAATCCACAGTGACAACAGTCTTTTATGTTTTCACAAAAGTAGAAGATTAGGTTAAGTTCATGCCACGTTGGCATCATGGACCGGGGGTAGGACATCCACACAATCAGGCTGTGTCTAGCCCGTCAGGTAAAGGAGACAAAGAAGAGAAACCAGTTCTGACCCTGGGGCAACAGGAACACGCTAACAAGGCAACTGTCTTTTGTAGCGCCTCTCAGGTTTCCTAAGGAAACACCGCTATGGTCTGGGACAGTAAACATATCCACTGCCAGCATTACTTTTCCTTGAAGTCTTCTGATTACTATTAGAAATTCTTGTGAATCCTACCCCCACTCTCCAAATCAAATTTGAGAAATGTTGATACCTCCGGAAGATGTTCAGGTTTTTTTTAACCTTCTGGCATAAAGCCAGAAACCCTGATGTGGAAGATGCCACACAATATGGTATTTCACACTGCCTAAGCCTGTAGAGTCTCTTGGCCGTGAGAGAATTTTCTATTTAGAGCACAAACTTCCTCTCAATCTCTGCTCACCCGCAGACAGTACAAAAGACCATAGACTTTCTCTACTGTTTTTCAAGGACATCTTAATAATACGACCTTGCTCAACAAGATGTGGGTTTTCAGTCGGCGAGGAGCCTGCCTCCTCTTTAGATGGTGAGACCCATGTGGCAAACGGGGTATAAATATATTACATCAGCAAGATAAAACAACGTCTTATTTTTTCATGAGTGGTTTTGATGGTTTGTTTTCCCATGAAAGGAAAGTTAGAAACTAGAAGAAATTATTTTATGAAAATTTCATCACTTTCATTTTCATAAAGGATCTTATGTCGTAAGTTTTCAGAACCACTCTGGTGGCTGGGAAACATAAAAGTACCCTTAACAACACGCACATCCTTGCACACACGATAAACAACTCATACCTCCGAGCCCTTACTACGCATGCCAGCACCTTCTGGTCACTGCACACACGAACCCGCTTTAAATTAGCAGCTGTGGTGTCAGGAGTCTCAGGGAGCAGGACAGGGGATAGAGATCAGAGTATTATCAAGTGTCAGGCAGGTGCAGAGAGTGACCAGCTGGCGAGGCCTCACTGGGGAAGTTTTGGAATGGGCCACGCCTGCGTCAGGGTCTGGGGACTAAGGTGTTCAACCACCCGACGGCAGGCCCGCGGCTGCCAATTGCTGGAAACGGCCCTCCCGCCGCCGTCCGGTCCGAACCTGCGCGGGGAGCCGCCCGCCCGAGGTCCGGGGCGCTCTCGGCCAGCCCCGTCCGTCAGCCTGTGCCCCACTCCCCGGCCCCGTCCGTCGGTCAGTCCCGCAGCCTGTCGACACAGCCCCGCAGCGCCGTGCATGGGTCCGCCGTCGGGCATTCCCCGCATTCCCGTCCATCGGTCCCCCAGCCCATCGTCCCCTCCCAGCTCCGCCCTTCGGTGTGTCCGTCCCCTCCCCCACAGCCCCGTCCGTCAGTCCGTCCCCGTCCGGCCCCCCCGCCCCCGTCCGGCTCCCCTCGTCTGGCCCCCGGCGCCGTCAGTCCGCCGTCCGTCCGCGCTCCCAAGTCAGTGCGCCGGACGCAGGGCTGCGGTGGCGTGTGATGACGTCATATGGGTCGCCCGCCCCCGATTGGTCGCGGCCGCCTCACCAGACCGCGAGCGGACGGGCGCGCGGGAGGGGCGGGGCGCGCGGTGGCCACGCCCCCTGGCGCTTGTGGCGGGCGGCGGGCTGCGGAGGGGTCACGTGACCCGGGGCCCCGCCGCCCGCCTTATAAGCTGCGCGGCGAGCTGAACGCCGCGGGCTCAACTCCAGGCGGTTTGGGCCGTGACGCTCCTCGGCGATCTCCTCCCTCGGCGAGCCCGCGGGCGGGCGCCCCTCAGCCAGGTACGCGAGGCGCAGCGAGGGGACCCAGGCCGGTGGCGGCAGGGGTGGGGTCCCGGTGTCGGGCCGGGCGGGGATGTCGGGGTGCCGGCGCCTCCACTCCCGGCAGCCGCCCCTCGAGACGGCCTTCCACTGCGATCCTCGGCACCGACCCTCGGGGCTGGGCGCACGCTCTGACCCCAGCCCGAGTCCCGGCGCGGGGGGCTGCACCCCCGACCCCAGGTGGGCTCTGCCAGTGATCCTGTCAGTTCGGAGGACCCCAGCACCTTGTCCTGGGCGGCCTGCCTCCAGGCTAGCCTGGCTGGGTCTGCCTCCTGCAGACGGACGGGGTCTGAAAAACTTCTGGACTGGACGGGCCAGAACTTCGGGGCTTATGCAGAGGGGCACTGCGGCGGGCGCTCAACGCTCAGGTGTACCTAATCCGGCTGCCGCTGAAAACAGCCTGTGCAGCTCCCAGGCGGGGTGTGTGGGCAGGGTCCTTGCAGCCCTCCCCCGCGGTACCTGCCCGTGGGCTCCCCTGAGCGGCTGACTCCGAGGGCCTTGGGGGTTTCCCTGGACGTACCGGCGATGAAGGCGAGCAGAGCCCTCCCTCTGACCGGGCCTCCCTGGACCTGCCATGTCCTTTGGAAGTGAACTTGATCGGGGTTCCACCTCCACACCCCCTTTTCCTTCTAGGAAAGCCTGTCACACTGGTGGCTGATGCCCAGACTGGACGACCACCCCTGGAGCGGTCCCTGCGCTAAGGGCGCGAAGCACAGAAGCCACCTGAGGGCCAGTGCCAGAGGGCTGGAGGCCAAAGTGGGAGAAATGATCACCTCCTCAGTGTCAGGCCCCTCTCCCCTGGTGGCCCACAGTGCCCGGGGCGCTGACCCGGCTCACGGGCCCGGGAGCGCTGCTGTGGGAGGCCATGGCAGCAGCGGCCACATCACCAGCTGGCATCACCACCTGGTGCAAAGGAGCCTGGTGCTGTTCTCAGTGGGCGTGGTCCTGGCCCTGGTGCTGAACCTGCTGCAGGTCCAAAGGAACGTCACCCTGTTCCCTGAGGAGGTCATCGCCACCATCTTCTCCTCCGCCTGGTGGGTTCCCCCGTGCTGTGGGACAGCAGCTGGTGAGTAGAAACTGAAGATGTTTGGTTAAGAACGATTTTCAGCCTCTGAGAACCGTTCGTTTGAAAATCGAACCATCCGCAGAGAGGAAGTGTGCATCTCCAGTGATTGTATTTAGAGAAGGAGGCTGGGGGAGAGGATGGTGATCCGCAATGCCAGTCTCTGGAGGCTGGAAGAAGCCCAGCGATTGGGGACCAGGTGGGGAGATGATTGGCTGTTTCACGCTTGTGCCAGGCTGACCGAGGTCCTTCCCTCTTACTGATCCGGCCCTGAGGACAGTGTTGGGGGAGCCCGCAGCTGTCATCCCGAGCGAGCTGTGCGATTGGCCGCTGGCAGAACTGGTGAGCGAGGGAACTGCAGTGCGATTGGCTGCCCCAGCGAACATGCTACAGCGCTGGGTAACTGAAAACAAACCGTCACGTGGGCCGAGTGGGCAGAACTGCTGCCCGAGCGGCCTCCCACACTTCCTTTTTCGGGATGCCCGTGAACGTGCCAAAGCCAGGCCTTCCCCCTAAAACGTTGGGCTCCATAGATGAAGGAAAACAAATCCCCTGTTCAGAGTTCATATTGCAGTACACCTGGCCAGCCACAAAACATGACCCAGGGTTAGCAGTCTAAATTGTGGACGGGCGGACTGTCTTTTTTGCGTAGAATTTCTTGGTCATTTGACTGGTTTTATAAACTTGCTGAACTGGTCTCAGCTCAGGTCACAGTACTTCTCTGGTCACACAGCATCCACTGATTAGCAAACATTTGTCAGATGCTTTCTGTAGCATCAGCTCTCCCAGCTGTTGGCAGTACAGAGTGAGCGGACTGCCCCTGTCAAGCATCCTGGTCTGGCGGGCAGAACAAGCGTGTACCTAAGTGACCACGGTGCTACAGGAGGGATGCCCTCCTGTCTGCTTCGTAGCTCATGTTTATGGACTGCTTACCTTGCATTTTTGTATGTTTTGCTTCCTTTCGTCCTTACAAAAGGACTCTGCTGTAACTCCATTTTACAGACGTGGAAGCTGAATTACAGAAGGTTAAGCAACCGTGTCCAAGGGGACACAACTGAGTGACAGGCCCACTGTTCTCAACTCTGCCTACTCCCCCCCTGGAGTCTGGGTGTATCCCCTGCGCTGTGGAAACACGTTGCCTTCTCAGCACGAGGCTGGAGTGGAGAGCTGTGTTCCGGCCGGGACGTGTCATGGGAGGGATGCTGTGGTTACCAAGCGGTGGGGAGAGTGTTCTCATTTTTGTTCTTGGAAAGATAGGCTCCTGCTTTGTTTTTCTGAACCCTTTCAGTGTATGGCTATACACACTGGTGCTGAGGCCTCAAGGCCCTCGTGGCAGCTCCCCTCCCCACTGTACGAAGGAACACTGATGCAAGCTGGAGGCCCCTGTGTAGGCGCAGAAGTAGTTTGCTTATGGATAATTAACCCCTGGCTCCATTCCTTCTGTGCTTCAAACCAAAGAACTGCGATTTTATTTTAAATTTTTCGAAACAATGATTTTTGTTTGTTTGTACTCGAGGAGAAAAAAAATGTAAAATTAGTTTTAATTCAAATATTACATTGTAGCTGATAAATCTTCTAGGAAAAGGAATGGTTTGAAAAATGTTAACAATTGCCACGCAGAGATCACATCATTTTCAGCCGGTTCTCTAACGCTGCTGCTTGTCTTTCTTCAACAGCTGTCGTCGGCTTGCTTTACCCCTGCATTGACAGTCGCCTTGGAGAGCCACACAAGTTTAAGAGGGAGTGGGCCAGTGTGATGCGCTGTGTCGCAGTTTTTGTTGGTATCAATCACGCCAGTGCTGTATCCTTCAGTGGGTGTGCTGTCCAGAGCAGCTCTTACGTTACACGTTGAAAGTTTCGTTACTTTTAATGAGTATATATCACATCATGAGTCACTTGAACCATCTTCTTCCGAGTATGTTATTTCAAAGCACGTTGCTCAGTTTACTCTCAGCAATTTTCATAATGGTTCTTGGAGTCCTTTCAGTTCATTTCAGGAAACAGTTAACACCAGGAACACAGTGGACGTCTTCATTCAGTCCTTTCTCAGGCAGCATCTGTTGGATCCTCAGAGTTCACCTTGTGATGCCCTTTACATTTCTACCTTACATCCTTCCACCGTGAAGACCTGGTTCCTGTGTCCCAGTGAGAAGTGGCGAGAGCATCACTCTTCTTGGATCCTTCCAGAAGGTGGAGGAGAAGCCTGTCTGCTTCTCTGTCCCTCCCTGGCATGACCATGCAAAGCCCAGGGCCAGTCAGAAGTGTGGCCTCTGGAATAGGGTTCTTAGCGGAGGCTAACTTCAGGATCAGGTGCTGGCGTCCACGGGTGGGCGCACAAGACACGCTGCGTGTCTGTACACGGTGCATTCCTCGGGAAGACGGGCCGTGGTTTCCCAGGTCTCAAAAGATTTATGGTTTCTTTAGCACAACTAGATTATATTTTTGGAGAAAGTTAATTTTAGAGTTACTGCTTCGTAAATCTGCTCTAGCCTGATTTTAATGATAAGAATGTCAGAAAAGGGTATTATAAGGTCTGGGCTCTGACAAACTTGTTTCGTCCGCAGTTGGTAAGCAGTGTTGTGACGGAAGCCAGTCGTGTCTCCACCAGCTGCGACCGTGTCGTGTTGGATGCCATCCTGGTGAGGTGTCTTCTTGCAGACGTGGAGCGAAGACTGGGCTTGCTCAGTTCAACCTACTAATAAAAACGAGAAGTAAAAGGGGAACTAGAGATGACTTACTAGCAAAGTATGCTGTTGGTTGAAATACCAGCAGAATTTTCTATGTAGCTTTCAGGAAGTTTACTTGTAAAGTCAAGTTTTCAACCCAGGGATCCCAGAGAAGTTCCAGGTCATCTCGGTCACGGTAACCTTGTATCCAACAGATGCTCTCTGCAGCTCGCCTGGCAGCTCCATGGATGGAGAATTATGTGGTGCACACGTAATTGCAGGCCCTGGGGCTTCTCTGGGTTTGACCATATTAAAAATCGTTACGCTTTTCCTTAACTCTGCATCGCCAGAAATTGGATTTTGCCAATAACGTTCAGCTCTCCTTGACGTTAGCAGCCCTGTCTTTGGGCCTTTGGTGGACATTTGACCGTTCAAGAAGCGGCCTTGGGCTTGGGATCACCATCGCCTTCCTCGCCACTGTGATCACTCAGCTGCTGGTGTACAATGGTGTCTATCAGTAAGCATGTGCTCTCAAATATCACCTCCGTCCGGAAGCTGTTACTTAACTTTTTAAAAAAATACCTTCTAAGCTAAGATGTCATGTTTTTTCTGTAATTACATAGCATAAACTTAGACATGAAATTCTCAGAAACGCTGCTTATTGTTGATTGACGTGTTAAAAATGCACCATGCGTAATTTAATGTAAAGGAAAACCCAGCAGTGGCGGTGAGCGTGGATGTCACATGCTGACGCTGCTGGTGCGCCGTGTGCCTGCCCCGCCTGCACCGGGGAGCCGGCTGCCCAGGGGCTCACGTCTCCTTCTCTCCAGGTACACGTCCCCGGACTTTCTGTACATCCGCTCCTGGCTCCCGTGCATCTTCTTCTCGGGAGGTGTGACCGTGGGAAACATAGGACGACAGCTAGCCATGGTACGTACAGGTGTCACCTGGGTGCCCAACCGTGGTTTCCAGCTTCATAGGCTGAGTGTACGTGATACGTTATGGTTGCTGTTGATAAATATCTAGTTGAGACTCGCAACAATTATTCAGAAAAGCGTATTAAAGAAAACTAGGTACAATACCCAGGTTACTCTTTGCTAGATGATAAAGATTCAGGGAATCGTAAGCTCACAACGCGCACTAAAAGGAACTAGAGTTCCACTCACGTTACAGATGAACTGCAGCTCCTGTGATAACTGGCAGAGAAAAGTTACTGAATGGCTAAATGAATGATTTATAAACAGTTTCCTCCCCGCCTTCACGCAGGTACAGATGATGCTATGCTAGGGAAAGGACCCCAGGCCAGGCCCATGAGAGTGTGGACCAGGCTGGGAGGGGGCTCAGCCTCCCTGGGTAGGCGGACTCCAGCCTGGACCCTGTCTAATAACTAAAGAGAGAGAAACGGGACCCCCGCACAGAGCCACTTCCCGAGAGCCAGAAAGACAAACGAAGCCAGGATGACTTGGCAGCTATTTCCGGGCGTTAATGGTCGACACTTGAGCGCTTTGATGAAATGTGGACATTTAACTGTCATTTTGAATAGACTTTGACTCGAGGCTTAAATGAGATGAACTAAAAAAAAAGAAACTAGAATCTTATAAGGACCATTTCTCTCAGAGACACTCTGGGGCTTTCTCAGAAACTTGACTTGGTTCCTCAGATGGTGTTTTTAGAAACAAGCCGTTATTCGTGCCAGCTGACGGTGGCCTGGGAGGGCCAGACTGAAGGCTGCTTGGCTGTTTCATAAAAATGGAAGTAATTTCAGAAAGGTAGAATTTGTAATGTGTTCCACCGGCTCCTGAGCCCAAATCCTTGCCTTCCGCCCTTCTGTGACTCTGTGTGGATCTGCTTTTGCCAAAACGAAAAGACTCAATTGAAAAGCCTTTCTTTCTTGACCCCTCATGAGCATCAGAGGACCTGGCTCTTCTCACACTCACGGTGGCCACAGTCTCGTGGTGCCCCTGTGCTGCTCCCTGGAGCCCCTTCCGGTTCAGAGTAGAACGAGGCCGCTTTACGATCCCTTACTGCTTTGGGATTTTTATTTTCAGTGCCATTTAGCTGAGGAGTCCAATAGGGCTTTTGAGGTAAGTTGTCTTCAACCCCCGTGACTCTTCGTGGAGTTAAAACTGACAGCATTCAGCCAGTTGGTTATAACTTCGGGAGGCCGGGCTGATGCTGCCATGCATATATGATGAAGGTTTTTAATCAGCTTTAGTCTTTTTTTTCTTTTTTTCTTTTTTGCGGTACGCGGGCCCTCTCACCGCTGTGGCCTCTCCCGTTGCGGAGCACAGGCTCCGGACGCGCAGGCTCAGCGGCCATGGCTCACGGGTCCAGCCGCTCCGCGGCATGTGGGATCTTCCCAGACCGGGGCACTAACCCGTGTCCCCTGCATCGGCAGGCAGACTCTCAACCACTGCGCCACCAGGGAAGCCCAAGGGTCTTTTTTGATAGAGGTAGACACCACACATCATGCACAAGTTCCTAACACCTAGAAATGGTTGAAGGTAACTTATTTTACAAGAGTGGCACAATCACACCTTTGGTCACGACGCTGAATGACGGTGGGTTTATCAGCGATCGTTCCATCCTTGTCGTAGGCATTTTCGTTTTTGAAAAGATGAAAGTTTTAAACCTAACTTAAGATAGCTGGCATAATTGTAATTCTCCCCGCTTAAGCTTTTTCTTCTTTTTCACTCTTTAAAGTTGGGGAAAAACTTGTATTTGTATGTTACTGTTGTGTCTTGATACTGGAGGAGGGTGATGAACATCCCAGGTCATCAAAGGGAAACGACCCTCCCGGGTCTCTGAGCCCAGCGCTCCTGCCATATTTACATCCATGAAAATGTAAACCCTTACGCCTGGATCCCAGCTGAAGGGGAAACGGCAGGCCCTTTCCAGCCGGAGGAGCAGTCACAGCTGGTTTTCCCGACTCCCCCTCTGGCTGCTGCATCCAGCGTGGGTCCTCGGAACAGATGTGGTAGCGGGCGCCCGCTGCCGGCTGCTCCGAGGGAGAAAAGAGCTAAGTCCCTTTTCTCCAGGTTTCCAAACCCAGCGGAGGGCACAGTCAGTGTGAATGAAGGCCAAACGATCGCACATCACGTCACAGCTGTGTTTCTGCCAGAAGTCAGGCGAGCGAATGAGGGAGACTTACTCCTATGAGTTGCTTGAGGCCTGAGATTGAGGAACCAGGTTTAAGTAGTTTTAAAGGATCGGTCAGTCGGATTGGCAAAGGCGTGCAGCACTTGCTCCCAGGGTAGGGAACAGGACAGGGGGTGTGTAAAGGAACGAAAGTGGCGATTTCTGAGAAGGAGAACTGCAGGTAGTTTGGGGTTTTTTCTCTTTTGCATTTTTAAAATTTACGATGAAAACATTACAGTTGACCTTTGAAGAGCACGTGGGTTGGGGCACCAGCCCTCGAAGAAGTTGAAAATCTGAGTGTAACGTAGAGTCAGCCCTCTGCTTCCGTGGATTTAACCAACCGCAGCCCACGCAGCGCTGTAGCATTTACTACTGAAAAAATCCGCATGTAAGTGGAACCGTGCTATTCAAACCCGTGTTGTTCAAGGGCCAGCTGCACTTGTAGAAGCAGAAGCACTAAGGTGCGTACAGGAGCTTGTGACAGGTCTCTCAGCGGACGGATGTGTGTCAGGAGGTGGGCAGACCTGTTGCTGTGCCCTGTTGAGATCGTTTACGTGGAGGTCATGCAGGACTCTGGTCCCTCTGCCTCTGTGTTGTCTGTTCACTGGGAGCAAAGCCTTGGCCTTGGGTTGCGGATGACAAGGCAGCGAATCAGTCCCCCCGCAGCTCCCAGACTCTCATCCCTACCCCAGCAGCCCCTCCCTGAGTCTGTCCAGACTGGTCTCTGCCTTTCTGTTTCTCTCTTCTTCCATCCTTCAAAGTATCTGTAAACGAATCTACCCCGAAAGCAGTAGAGAATCTTAATAAAAAGTCCGCCTTTGTCCAGCAGGAAGTGCGTAGCCTTCACATCCAGTTCTGCTGACTCTTGAACCTCTCAGCCTCCTCTTAGCAAATCCTCGGTCCACTTCGGCTTGAACGGAGGATGCTGCCTCTCTTGCCACCCCCGCGGGCTGGCAGGCAGCCCTTCTAAAGCATGCTGTCGCAGCAGTAAAAGATAAGTGCGTGAAGCCAAAACTGTATTTTTCATGAGAAGAGAATTGGAAGTGTAGGAAATTAAATGTGCTTCAGATTATATCAGAGCTGAAGAATGAAAACTCCATTTATACTAAGCTTTGTTTTAGAAAACTGTGGCTCCCCACGACATTGAGTGTCCCTGCCCAACTGTAGTTCTTCCCAGGACCTTTTGTTGCGTGGGCTTTCCCCACCAAGCAGCAACAGGTGGACGTGGCGGGCTGGAGCGAGGACACTGCAGTAAAAGCGTCTGCAGGTGTGGCTGCTACCCTCCTCCACCTGCCTGGCCACTGCAGTTGCAGATCCCAGTCACCTGGAGAAGGTCCCGGGGGCCTGGGCTGCGGGGACCCTAGCACGTAAGCCAGGGCCCCTGAGGCTCGTGCATCCTAACACACTGGGATGTGTGCCCTGCTGTTGTGTATTTGTGTCCAAGAATCGTTAACCTCACGTTTACTCTCTTTGGGGAGTCTTGAAAGTTTAGGCTGGGACAGACTGGCACCTTGCTAGAATCTTTCTCACCCAAAAAAGTCTTTAAAAAGAGCAAGTTAAACATTTTCTTTTTAAAGAAGGAGTTAAAATACTTAAGCCAAGTCTTTATTTTCTTTCTTCAAAGAAAGGGAAAAAATTAACATCTTATTTGTGAAAGTGAGCTTATTCTTTGTTAAGAATTTGAAAGCTCATTTCCATCCTTAAAACCCAGGAAATGGCTCAGTGCCTTAGAAATGGGATTGGTCAGCACCGCCCATTTCTTTTCCTCTGGCTGTGCCGCTGGGCCCTTAGACAGAAGATGGATCTGAGGTGGTATTTTAGGGGCGGCGTTTAAGAGTGAATTCTTGGTTTAAAACTTCACCAAGTAAGGCTTTTGTGGTGGGACGTGATTCGAGTGAAGAAGATGAAGGTCTGAAGGTGGAGACCTTAGGTGGGCGCTGGTCAACACAGCGACCAGAGCTGCCCGAGTCCAGTGCGACATGGCTGTGTTCCCTCTGAGGGTGACCGTCCCAGCGCCTCTGCAGCCCTCCCCCTCGCGCCTTCTCAGTTCCCACTGCCCTTAAAAGAAATATGGTTACCATCAAGGGCAGCCATGCCCCAAACCTGCAGGTTGGCTTCGCTTGAGTGTCAAACGGTCCGAGGGGCTTTTTCTTTGTGGTTTTCGTTGTCAGCCTGCATGTTTAAAAGTGAGTCCGTAGCATCATCTTATAGAATCTGTATCTGTTGCTGTTTGTAGCTGTTTGTCTTTTCTCAAAAAAAGTAAGGCTTCCAGCTGCCACGGCGAAGAGCGTGGCCCTGCTTCCTGGGGCCCAGGCCCCGGACACCTGGTTACAGGTGCGCTTCCCTGGCCCGTGGAATTCAGTTTGCCTTTCCTGTTTGCCATCCAGCGGCTGCTGGTAGTAATAACAACATTAATTAGCACTTCTGTTGCACTCAAGGTGTTGTGATAAATAGTTTCACTGTCAGCTGAGTCCTGTAACAGCAGTCTGGAGGTAGGGACTCTTGTCAGCCCGCTTTAGAGATAGGGAAATACAAACTCAGGAGGCTGACCACCTGCCTGAGTGGGTGCAGCACGGGGCTGGAGCTGGGCGCCTCGGGAGCGCGCAGAGCTGCCCTTGCACACCGCTCCCCACTCCACTTGGCTGGCCGGCTGCTAAGCCAGAGGTTAGAACGTGTGCTGGGGCTCTGGCTCCGTGGCAGGAGGCGTGGCGGTCTCTCCTCATGCAGCCCCGTGACCTCAGGAAGGTCATCTGGTCTTGGATCTGCTCCTCCAGTGGAACATCTGTCCTCTGCTGAGGACTGACCAGGCCGGGCCTGGACAGCGGTGACAAGTGCAGGGTTCACCTCCCTGAATTTCTGTACAGGTCAGTGAGGAAGCATGTGTAGAAACGGCTCCTGAGCTGTTACACCCTCCACCTCGCCTGAGAGGGACGGGCCCTGTTTTCTGGGTGAAACAGTGGCTCCTAGCTCTCCTAGCCCCGGACAGGGAGAGGACCGCAGTGGGGTTGTTGGAGCTTGTCTGCTGCTCCGCATTTCTCGTCTCCATTATCTTATCCGACTCAAAGGAATTTTTTATCTTTCACTTTTTAGGATCGGCTTAATTGCTAATTAAAATATGTATACATTGGGCTTCCCTGGTGGCGCAGTGGTTGAGAGTCCGCCTGCCGATGCAGGGGATGCGGGTTCGTGCCCCGGTCTGGGAAGATCCCACATGCCGCGGAGCGGATGGGCCCGTGGGCCATGGCCGCTGAGCCTGTGCGTCCGGAGCCTGTGCTCCGCAACGGGAGAGGCCACAGCAGTGAGACACCCGCGTACTGCAAAAAAATAATAATAATAAAATAAAATATGTATACATTTAGTGCTGATTTTCTCTCGCTCCTTTTTCTCTTTTTGCATGTAGGGTGTTCCTGAAAAGCCGCATAGCGATTGACTCTTCAAACCCACTGACCCTGAAGAATGGCAAGATTTGGGAGGAAATCTGGGATACTGGATTGTGACAAAGATTATCTTTTTTCCTCAATAATCTTTTTAGATTGGGCTGACTGTACAAGTGACTCCTGGAAAACAGTTCACCTGTTTTAGAGCAGCAGACCGGGAAGATGACCACTTGTGTTGAGATGTCACCTTGCCTGATGGCATTCACGCCTGGGTCTGCTCAGGAGGCCCCAAGTGCAGGCCGGCCGGCTGCAGGGTCCCGAGGATTCGGTTTCATGTGTCATTAAAAGCAAGTTGCCGTATTTCCAAGCCTTGAACTAAAGCCTAACTACCAGCTCTGGTTTTGTATCAGCGCCCAGGGGAGAGCTCGATGGTGCTTACAAAGATGAAGCGTGATAAAATAGGAATATTACTTACCCAAAAGATCTCTAAAACAGGGTTGTGTAGAGAAAGAGAAAGGCAGGGGCGGCGAGCGTAGGGTGGCAGTGCCGGGCGCCCGGTCCCGCAGCTGCGCACGTGTCCCAGCGTACGGCCATGCTTTTCATTCCTCCGTGGAGTCGCATGTAGACAATCTTACCGAGAGCAGAAGGCAATGAGAGGTCATCGTTCTGCACTGTGATGTGCTGGAATGTCCACCTCAGTATTTATGCAGTTTATCCAGAATCCGTAATCGTCTAGGAGGGGCACCTGCCTGCCGTGTGTCTCAGTCTTAGTGAGCCAAAATCGTGTGTTTCTTTGATACTCCAGAACAGAGATGACTGTTTTTTTCCCACAGCCCTATGGGATTTGCAATCTGTGATTGCCTTGTAAAAAGAAGAGTGCGTATGTCACTGTATTAAACATTTGGTGTTTCTAAATACTCAAAGACGTGGTGAGCACAATGTATTCATTTAATGGCATAGACCATGTTTGTTAGACCCAGTTTGCAAGTACTGGGTCTTCAACTTCAAGTGCAATGTATATGAAAACCAACCTGAGCCTTGTATCCTCTTAAATATTTATTTTTTTAACGTATGAGGTGTTACAGAGGGTTCTCCATTTCAGTGCTGCATGGGGGCAAGATTCAGCAACAGCCCCTCTCAGTTGTGCAGTTACTTCGTTGCTGTGCTCTCCACTGAGCCGGTCCTTTGAAATACTCCAGTTTTGTGCGTTTAGTAAACTTGTAATTTTTACTCACAAATTTACCTTTTTGTATTTTGCAATTTAAATGTTTTGGTTGTTTTACACTCTGTGAACATGGCTGGATGAAAAGACTCCTTCCCCCTGAGCAGCTGGCGGTCAGAGCCACTGCCAGCAGCCGTGGGCTGTGCTCTCAGCTCCCCTCACGTGATGGTCCTCGTTGCAGTTGGGTTTTGTTTTGAGGAAAATATCCTGGAGTAAATTTTAGGTTACTGTAGCTAATTTGTTTTAGAGGAATTTTGTTTAAAAGAAAATAGGATCATTCTGAACTTTGCAATGACCCCCTTACACATTTTTCTGAAATCACACAGCTATGTGAAAAGAGTTTTCAATGAGGCTATCAGCATTTTATGAAAAACCAGAAGTTATTAGATGAGAGCAGGCATTGAATCTTTCAAATATACTTGATCATGCACAGTGAGTATTTTTTTCTCTTAAACTGGAAATAAATCTATACCTGTTAGAAACAATGTAGCCAAAAGATGTGAATCTGAAGAATTTTGTTGCCGATACTTTATAGCGAGTGTATGAACCAAAGCCATCTGAGTCTGTAGAATGTCAACTAGTGTGAACACGCTTTGCACTACGCCAGGTTTGAACATTAGCGGGATCCACATTCACACCAAGTTTTCAGCATTGTGTTCTTTTGCATTCATTTTTTACTTTTATTAAAGGTTCAAAACCAGCCATCGTATTTATGGGTTTTTCTTTAAAAAGGCGGCGGATTCTCTCTGTAGGATATTCAGATTTGGAATGGAAGAATATTTTATAGCTTTTCAAAATGTACTAAGTTTCAACACAACCTCTTGGGAAACTTTGTTTTCCTCCTGGTGGAAAGTGACGGGTAGTTCAGCCCAGTTTAACTTCCTCCTGCCCCTCCCACTGACCCTGGGAGGTTGGGCGTCTTCTTGGGCCTTGCTCTGTCCTCTCCCAGGAATGCTATCCTCTCTCTCTGGGAGAGAGGGCCCTTTCTCCCTGTACTAGAAAGGGGGGGGGGGCTGGACACCCAGAAAACAGAGCCCAGGGAAAGGGAAGAGCATCCAGCCCAAGTAACAGCCAGCATGTCCAGGGGCCGCGAGTGGCAGGCCACACGGCAGAGGAGCAGCGCCCTGCCCCAGGTCCACTTCCCTCGGTCCCTGCCGGATGCAGAGCCGCCCCGGGTGACGAAGCTGTCAGGGCCCCGCCACACACGCTGCCCTCCGCACAAGTCCGCTGAATGCCTGCTCTACCAGCGCCGGGTGCTGGGCTGGACGAGAGTCAGAACTGGCCTCAGAGGCTCTCCTCCCAGGGCCCCATTGCCAGGCCGGGGGGGGGGGGGGGGGGGGGGGGGGCCGCCTCCCCCCCCGCGGCCGCCCGGGGGGGGCCCCGGGGGGGGGGGGGGGGGGGGGGGGCAGGTGTGAAGGTACCTGTCTCACCCACTGAGACAGGTAGGTGTCTCACCCACTGAGACAGCGAAGAGTGGGTGCTGTTTGATTCTTTAATTAGAGAAGTAACAACTGTGCGCAGTTTGGCACCCAGAGCAGCCCGAGAAGCCATCCTGCACGACCCACACCGTCCCAAAGGTGAACCAGGGCCCGGCGCTGCGGGAAATGCCCTGGAATTGCCCTCTCCCCCGAGCGATGTTGGCAGGGAAGCTTGAAAAGAGAACAGCCTTCTGGGAAGGGAGGCAGGGCTGGAGCTGAGCTGCGGTCCTTGGTTCCGCTGACTCTTCCCCGAAAGCAGAGGGACAAGAGGACGCCTGTCCCACCCTCCCCTACGAACCCACCCCCGCCCGCCCCGGCAACTATGCGACGCAGCTTTGCAAAAGTTATTTTCAGTCGTGAAATAGCGTTGCAATGGCAGTAGAGAAAGCCCTCCCCTTGTTATACTCAACCCGATATATTTATAATACAGTCCAGACCCGTGAGTTTCTCCTGCATGGAACACAGAGCTGTTCATGTACAGAAAACCGAGAGCTGCTACATTTCCCTCACCACAGAGACTGGAAGACTTTGCCTGAGATTGATCCAGTTCATGAGGCTCTAACAGGGTAATGCCTGCTCTGAGCTGGCCTAAGCCTTGTTTCAGAGTAAGTTTGGGGACTGAAACGTTTCCTGGAATTGCTCTGGTCTGTGAGCAGGTGACTGAATATCCCATTTCACTAAAGGTACACAAAAGACTTCCGCGTCCCGTCTCTTCAGCTGCTGAGCGAGGCTGAGTGAAGAGGAGCTCAGGATGGGGACGAGGGCACTGTGTTTACTTAGCCAGTTTTCAAAGTCTCCTGCGATCTTACCTGAGGAGTGTTTCTGGCAGTTCATCTAAAGCCCTGGATTGGACATCATCAAGTCATCTGGTGCCCGGGAACTTCCCACCCTTGATCTATAGACACTCCCTTTATGTTGGTGGTAAAACGAGAGGAGCGAAGGGGGCCTATTTAAATCTAAACTTGCTTTTTCTACTTCATGTTTTAAATAGACCTTTTGCTATGAATGTTCACTTTCTGAGAATTTCAGATGATCTCTTTGTAATAATGTAACTAGCAGATAAAGCCTTAGAGTTGGGATGTGCTCTGAAAAGTATTAATATGATAAAACGCCAATAAAGACACTTCAGTTCGGCTCCAACACGTTTATCTCACACTAGGAAGCTGGCCAACTACCCGCCCATCTACCACCACACTTGCTCTTGGTAAATTAGCCACAGGGGGATTTCATATTGACCCCTGAATGCCGCCAAAATATGCAAAGAAAGCACCTCCCTGGCGGCCCAGTGGTTAAGACTCTGCGCTTCCACTGCAGGGGGCTTGGCTCCGATCCCTGGTCGGGGAACTAAGATCCCACATGCCGTGTGGTGTGGCCAAAAAAACGCGAAAAAAACAAACAAATAAAAAAAAACACCCAGAACACGAAAATATGCAAAGAAAGATGCAAGAAATCTGCATCCAAGGCCTAGGACCCAAACTTGGTCCTTTGTGGATTTTCCGTGTAGATCTTCAGAGATTCACACCTGAAGACTCTCTTACTGGACAATTATAACACGAGTGCCTGGTACAAGGCCGACTGGTCTGGAAAGAGCGGATGTGCTGAGACAGGGCGGGAGTTCCTGCCTAGGTTTGTGATTTAAGACGAGACGGTAGCGTGTGAAAAGCAGTATCGCATCACTATTTTCATCCATTAGCCACTGTTTTTCTAGTGTGTTGGCTCCTTATAAGTGCTCTACAGTTTTTGTTGTCCTGTGTGATATACATTCCCCAGTTCAGGAACACAAGACAGCCAAGGACAATGAGTTAAAAGTCCCCTAAAGTAATTTTCTCATTAGAACCTATAGCTCTTCGTGTTTGTTCTGTATCTTCTCTCGGGTAGGTTATTTTTCTGGCTGTGTCGGGTCTCAGTTGCAGCATGCAGGATCTTCCATTATGGCGCGTGGGCTCCAGAGCACATGGGCTCTGTAGTTTGCGGCACACAGGCTCTATAACTGAAGCATGCGTGCTCAGTAGTAGTGGCGCGTGGCTCAGCTGGTCCGTGGCATGTGGGATCTTAGTTCCCCAACCGGGGATCGAACCCATGTCCCCTGCATTGGAAGGCGGATTCTTTACCACTGGACCGCCAGGGAAATCTCCTCTCAGGTAGGTTTTCTATTTGAAATTGTAGAGTTTATTCTTATTCATCCATCAGACCTCAGCTAAAGTGTCATTTTCTCACTTTCCTCATCACATCAAGCCTCCCCAAAGTTGCTAAGGCAACAGGGCCCTGTCGCCTGGCCGTGTCTGTGCTCTGGTCCTCCGTCCAGCTGTGTGCCCGTGAGGGGAGAAGTGCCTCTCTGTCAGTCATCCTGTTCTGCCCTGAGCCTCAGGGTCTGGCTCCTCATTATTATTCAGGAAGAATGCTGAATAAATCATCCACTCATCCATCTATCAGTCATTCAACAAACATTTTCCGATAGGAGGGCAGGCACTCTGCCCACTGCCATTTTGCTGCCCAGCCCTCAGGCCCCTCCAACCTGCTGGGAAACTAAAGTTGTTAGGACCACTCACAAAATGAGAGATCGGGGTAGGGATGGGAGGAGGGCTCCTCCGAGCAGAGTTTAGTGCAGGCGTCGTTTCCAACAACAGCGTCGGTTTGCTTTCCTCACCGCCCCCTAACGAGGGTCTTCCTGCCCTGGGTTATTGTGTCACCGGCGCCCCAGCTCGGGGAGGTGACCCGGGCGTAGGGTCAGACTGCGTTGGGTCCTCCTTGCCCTCAGCCTCGCTGCCAACCCTGGGTAGCTCCCACTGCTGCCAACTCAGAGGCTGTCACTAGGGCCTGGGGCCGCCGCCCAGCTGCTTGCTTGTCTTTCTCATGTGCACACTGACGCCCTCAGAATTTGTCTTTTCACTGCAGAACGCTGTGTACTTTGACAGGTGACTGACATCCTGCCGCCCTTCAGATTGTGTCTCATTTGCCACCTGACGGCTCTCAGACCCATCCTAACTCTCCTGGTGACCCCATGCCAGTGTGAACAGCTGGCATCACCCTTTCCCCTAATTTTGCGTCGATCACATTAGTTGCCAAGACCCAGCTAGGGCAAGGGGAGCGCCAGCAGATAAGCTCCGAAAAAGGGCCCAGGGTGAGGCGGCGGCTTGACAGGAGCCCCTCAGTCAAGTCAGCTCCTAATGAATTGCTTCCTGCAGCCCCAGAGGCGATCAATAGTCCTCCACGTGACCGCCTTGTCGGGCCAGTTCTGGGGAAGCCCGCTGAAAAAAGGTCAACATGCCAACAAATCACTGGAAAGATCATTTCAAAGTTTCCCAGGTCCGAGGAGGGAGAGCCTGCACTTTACTCCACCTCACAGGATCAGAAACGGCCTTCGGGTCCTCTTGGAAATCTGGGCACACGGGAAAGCCCTGTCAGGGGGCTTCTCATAAAGGAAACTGTTGTGTTTCCTGAGATCCATAGACAGCTCTTTGCATTTGTTTAAATGGTCGTTGAAAAACATAGAAAAAATGTTACCGAAAAACGTAACTCGATGTAAAAAATGTTACTCGATGTGCGCCAGAAATTATGCTGTGTGCACCGGGAGCCACATGGATTCCTGCTCTGAGGCTGGAGTCCACCTGCTCACCAAGGAGAACTAGTTTACGCTTCCGAAGACACACAGCTCTTCAGGGACCCTGTTTCTGTTTCATCTTAGCCACCCCAATCCTTCTCCGTAACAGGTATTTGAAAGGAATTTAGGAAGGAGGAAGATGGGTAGGTAGGTAGGTTGTCAAACACTGAGCTGCCGGGCATTATGAAACCAATTTTTAACTTAAAAGAGCCTATAGTTTTCAATCTAGCACCTGGACTTAGTACTTGGTTGTCAGTTAAAAGCACCAGGTAATCACTATCTGAGAACCTTGGCTCTCCAAGAAGGAAGAAGAAAAGTTGGGAAAGCTTCCTTTTTCCAAATAATGTTGCCTCCTGTTTTTAATCCAAAGGCTCCTTCCTCATGGACTTGTTTCTCCAGGGATCTCACTGTCCTTCAGCCTGTGTTATGGGCTGCACTGTGTCCCCACAAAGAAGGTAAGTGGAAGGCCTACCCCCAACACCTCAGAATGTGACCTTATTTGGAAAGTCTTTGAAGATTTAACCAAGTTAAGATGAGGTCACAAGGGTGGGCCCCGATCCAATAGGATTAGTGTCCTCATCAACACCTCAGAATGTGACCTTATTCGGAAAGAGTCTTTGAAG